ACACATGTTAAAAATCGTTACTATGCAATTGTACTGTACATAAATAAGAATTTATTAGACTTTATCTTCAATGTTAATTTTTTAGCACAGAAATAGCTACCTACTGTAAAGTCACAACTTTGCAACTTTTGCGAACACCCTTTTTGCCGTAAAAACGATTAGATCTCAGAATCAAAAGATCGAAAGTCTATGTAATTATGTTATCTTGTAATTTAGATTACGTATAATTTAGTATATGCTGTATATATATTATGTATATATATCAGATATATATATATTATATATATACGATATATATAATTTATATAGTATATATATATATATATACAGTATTTATATATATATATATATATATATATATTTATATATATATTTATATATATATATATCTGATTTATTACGATTTATATTGTATTATGACATTTTTATAATTTGACGATACGTTGCAACTCCAGTTGCTCCATAAAAAGTCGGAATGTCTTTTTGTCATTAAATGCTAAGCACTGCAAAACCATCCAAAACTTTATTTGAATACACAGCATATTAAATATGTAACGGATAACTTAAACAGTGGAATAACCCGCGGGTTTACTAAAATGCCACTGAACCTCTCAGAAACGTTCTTAGATGTTCTTTAATCACGATCAAGTAGGGATCTAAATACCTAAAGATCAATGGAATAATCAACGATTATATAGCTGAAAACCTTCAAATTAGCGAAATATTATGGCCGAACAAGTGAGGATCTTAAATTCCTAAAGATCAATGGAATAATTCACGATTATATAGCCGAACAAGTAAGAACCTCAAATACTTGAAGATAGATGAATTAATACTCGACCATATTGCCGAAGATATTCAAAAGAGCGAAAATATAATGGCATTGGAACTTAATATAGCTACTTGAATTCCAATGCCTTTAAAAAAATAATACGTTGATTGCTTTAATCTTCGTAAATCCGGAAAATCTTTCGAATTCTATCAAAGAAACTCTATGTAAGAACACTGCACAAGAGATTCAATTTATCTTTCCATTCTAACTGTGATACTTGTACAAGATTTTTACAGTAAACAGCAAAGAAAAGCGGAGCGTTCTTAATTATTACAAATTTGAGGAGAGGAAAGGTGGTAAAAAGTTACCACCAGCAACAAGAAAACGTTATTAGACCTTTCACAAAACTATAATATTGAAAATTCTGCATTTGAGTAAATATTAATCCATTGGCAATGTTTTAAGAATCAAAGTTGAAAACATAAATAAATTTCAAATAATTAACGTTACAGTTTAATCACAATATGTAAAAATCTTATTTCTCGAATTGAGAAAATATTTATTATATTTTAGCAAATATATAATTATATACTTAGCATATTGATATTGATAACTTGATAATTTCGAGAGTTCATTCAGGTACACATTATCGCATTATTGTAAATTAATCTTTTTGAGACATAAGGTGAGCGTCATACCAATGATGTAATTTAATTCCAATTCGATCGAATGCGCACGAACATCTCCAAATTTAGCATTTATGTAAATTACTAGCAAACATGTTTATTTCCTCAAGCTCGATCAGCATGAACTATAACGATAAAGTCATCCATTTTAAATTTAAAATTCATTTGAATTCAAGTTATAATCATACTAAAATTCATAGCATTAAGGTTCATGCGCGTTAGGTCGATAAATTGATTTTCTACTTCGAAAAAAAAAAGATATATAATTCATGATTTTTACTTTTGAATTATAACGATAATCGCTAGTTCGTTCTGTTTGGATTGTTATAAGACAGAATTTTTGCTAACATTAACTAGAGCTTTGAAACTGTAATTTTTTAAATCCGAATTTATAAAAAGTCTATAAACCTAAAATAAAACTTCGAATCATAAATGTGG